ATATGTAATTTAAAAGCAAGCTTTTCTTTGTAAAAACTTCAATTGAATTTCAATAAAGTTAAAGGCATAGCCTTACCGTTAATATTTAAAAAAAAAAAAAACATTCGATAAATTAATTGTTATGACCCAAATTAATCAAATAAAACTCAAATAAATAATTTGATTAAATAATTTGAGCACTTTTCAGAGTTTAGAGTCTAGTCACTACTTTGTCAAATTAAAGTTTAAGTTTCAAATCAAAAATTTGATCAAACTTAACTTAATTAAATGAAGTTAAACTTTAATTTAATTTTGTAAACTACTTACTTGTCCAAAATCAAAGCTACTAAGATATGCTTTTTGATTTATTATTTTTTGAGCATGGGTCTGATTTTGAGCTTCATTCTTTGCTATATTTGCTGTATGTTGATATTCTTTTTGTTCTTGTATTTTACTAATATTATATATATATTGATCTGAAAATTCATATAAATCACTAGCATTTCTAACAATATTTAACATTTTTAATAAACTAACATTATTATACAATACTGCTAATGCATGATAAGCTGCAAAAGATTTTGGATAATTGGTTTTTTTATCAGTATAGTTTAATTTTAAATGATTAATTGCCTTATTTGCACTTGTTCTAATTGTTGTAATAAAACTTTGCTAATCTGGTAATTTTATAATTCTTTGTAAAAACTTTTTTAAATCTTTACATTGTATATTATTATAGGTAGTTAAATTTGGTTTACCAATTTCAAGATCTGGATTTTCTACAATCCAACAAACTTCAAGCTAGCAATTATTATGTTTATTATGTAAATGCTCAATTACAATTTTAGTTTGCATATCAAATAGCTGATTATCTGTTGGATTTTCTAAATCTGAATTAGAAGTACATGTAATTGTTACATATACATATTTGCAATAATATTTCATAATTGGTTGTTCAAAATGCTTCCAATGAATATGATTTGCTAAAACAAAAATAATAATTTAATTAATTAATTAATAATTATTAATAATTACAATTTATTTTTACCAATTTTGTTTCTAATAAGCTTTGATTTATGTTTTAGATCTCCAAAAATTTTATGTACAATAGTTTGATTAGTCAATATTTTGTTACTATCTAAATCGCTATCAATTCTAATATCTAAAACAATATTATATTTTTCTAAAATAGGTATGATTTTGTCTATTATAGCAATTAGAATAGTATGCTCTATTTGTTTGGAACTATTATTATAATTTTCTTCATTTATGGTTATAGTCTTTGCATTTTTGGTTTTATATTGTCTTAGCTTTTTAACAATATGAAATGCTATAATAGGTTTGTATGATATTTCTATAAATATTTATAAAAATATTATTAAATATACAATATTATTTAAATATGAGTACTACTAAGAAAAAAGAGTACCTTAGTAATTATAATATATTACTAATTAATTATTAAGTTTAGCAATAATACAGATTGGGCTTTCGATTATACAATATAATATATAATGATTAATACTAAATTTTTATATTAATAGTATAAAATCAAAAGCCTAGTCTGCATTATTGCTAAACTTAATAATTAAACAGTAATATACTATAATTGTTGAGATGTCTTTTTTCCTTAGTAGTACTCATATTATATAGTGTTTTGCAAAATCAAATCAAAGTTTAAGTTTTAAATTAAATATTTGAAAAGTTAAATTTGATCAAATATTTAATCAAGTCAAATTTGATTAAATTTGATTTGATCAATTATTTCTACTTAACAGTTTATTGAGCAAGAATATTTAATCAAAGCTGACTTGATCAAGTATTTTTACTCAATAAACAGTTTACTATACAGCACTGCATACAGTACTCCTTCTGAAATAGTATTACTCTTTTTTTGCCAAGTGATTTGCAGTCTAATTTTCTTAATTATAGTCAATCTTTTATTAGATTTGATATGTCTATTAGCAAGATATATATTGATCTTTTTATTGGGTTTAATATATCTAATAGCAAGATATATATTGATCTTTTTATTGAGTTTGATATGTCTAATAGCAAGGTATATATTGATCAGTAACAATTATTTGTATTATTCTCCTATTTTCTAATATTTGGAGGGTACTATTCAATTTAGATTGGCTTTCTTGAAAAATATTCAGAATACTATATGCAGTGCAATATAGTATCAAGTAAGAATATTTAATTAAATTTGCTTTGATCAAATATTTGATCAAATTTGACTTGATTAAATATGTAATTTGAAGCTTAAACTTTGATTAAATCTTATGAAACACTAATAATACATTTAAAAAAATAAATAATTTATTTGCAATTTTATTATTAAATATGAATTCACTATTTGCTTGCATTGCCTCATAAACATGGCTCTACAAACAATCAAAAAAAGCTTCAAGTATATGGGATTGAGTTAGTAGAAATCAAGCAAATCGAAAATTTTTCAAAATTGAGATTTTTTAATAAAATAATAGAAATCAATATGCTGAATATTTTTTAATTAATAATAAAACTTAAGTAGCATAATAAAATTTTAATATATTACGGTTTCAAGTTTTTTATGCGATTCGGTTATCACTCCGGAAATGTAAATCGATCTACCTTGGATATACCAAAATTGATATGCATGATCGGAATCTAATTAATACCTTTAATATTTAACGATAAGGAAATCGCAGGTTTTTAATTCTAATTTCTGCTTTATCGTCATGTTGAAATAATCGTAGAATGTAGCTTCATTGTTTAGGTGGAGGGGCCAAATGATACGCCAGTTGGAGAATAAGCTGAGAGGTAGTGAGGGTCCGTAGAAACTTACTGTGGGACTTAGGTAAGACGAAATTCTGGTTAAAGATTAAATTCCTGTCTTATGCTTAAATTTATGGTTCTTTACGTTGAAATCTTCACCCAATAGCATGAACGAAGTGGAAGAATAAATTAATTTCATTTATTGTATTACTTTGATCTTCAAATAATTCGTTCTGAAGAACTCATTCATCGAATTTGCATAGTGGTAATATTTTACAAGATAGTTTACACAGCGCATATATTGCAGACTTGAAAATTTCAATATAATATCAACAAATATAGCGCTAAAGGAAGAATGACGTGAAGTTTATATAGAATATTACCGTATATTGCTCTAGAAGCTTTGGACAGAGGTCAATATACAACAGCATTATTCTCGTTGAAAATTAATGATCAAAAATGGTTATTTATGTTCGCAATACTAGAAATCAAATGTAATCATAAAGAACATTGTCCAGTACGTAATAAGCAAATGAATAAGAAACAGTAATAAGGGAAGTGTAAGACATTGTGGCTCAAAACGTTTAGTATTCTAACGGCAGAAATTATGGTGAGGTTAGAAATACAAATGAAAGAGACATTAAAAAGAAACTTGTCAATTTTAGATAAATAAGCTAATACAAAAAAACAACCTGAAATCATTATAAGCACTGAAACTAGAGAGAGTATAAGTCAACATATAAATGAAGAGTTCTTTGGGAACTTTAAAGCATATTAAGCACTCAACTTATCTATTGTACCCAAAATTAGTTGCTGATGGTGTGTGCCATAAATCCAATATCATTTCATAATTTTATGGTATTTATGTTTGGATGGTGAACTAAGTAATGAAAGCCTTATAATAGTTTGGTCTTTCAAGATGAGAATGCAATGATGACATGGTATTTTCTAGAAGAGGATATTGACTAAGTGCAGAATAATGTTAAGACAAAGGTGTGTAGTATAAGTGATAGAGACGATTAGGTCTATGAAGATGATGAGAAAATGACTCTTGAAGTGAAAAGAATTAGGTAATAAGACATTAAAAATAAAATATTTACGTAAGATAAAATTTAAACAACATATAGCATATAGATAACGGAGGTTGACATGTTCATAAATCGAGCTAAAAGTCAAAGAGGGTTCTAATGAGAGAAACAACGTTAGCGATAATAAGGAAATGTTTGAGTGTACTAAAAAGCAGATGACAACTTAGTTGGCAAAATTTTAAGTGGATGTAAATGAAAATAAAAAAGTGTAAGAAAAGTAATTACATAAGCACGCAAGTATGTTCAGATTTTAAGCACCAAGGAACTAAATTCATAAATAGAAAAATTATCATTATACTACTAATTTTTTCTAATTATCTGTTATTTCTCTATATAGAACAAACTAACCTTTTAAAATAATGCACAAGCAATAGGCGTATGTACATACGTACACTTGAATAATGTGCAGATAATGTGCAGGTGCTTACTATTTTGTGGTCCTGTAGTATATAAAAATGTTCTATGATCTAATTCGGTTTTGTTGTTGAAATTAATGTCTAGCAATAAAAATTTTTTATTTGATAGTATCTTTGCGGAAACATAGCGAATTAGAAACTTTAAATGATGAATTAAATGAACTTTATGAGGTTTATCAGACGAGTAATTTAAAGAATGACAGTGATAGTGATAGTAACAATGATATTATTTGTAATAATATCGATAATAATAGTGAATATCTTAAGTCTGAAGAAGACCAAGAGAATATAGATGATGTTTTTACGCTGAATCAAATTGAAGAGTTTAAAAGGATTTATACATTTAAACCCATACAAGCATCTATAAAAAAAGAAAAAAAGTCTACAGCAAGGTCAGAAAAACGAGATGACGAGGCGTATTTAAAAAAATTACAAGAAAAACAATGTTGTCAAAAGCTTTGCATTACTAAAATCGATATGCAGGAAGCTCTTAACAGATATCGTGAAATTAAAGCAATGTCTCAAATAGAAAGTAATTTTTGTTTTTTAGGAATGATTGATGCTAGTGTTAGATTTGGAATGTTAAATAATGGAACATCAAAAACATATTTAACAACTAACTATAATTTTAGTGGAATATCTGTTTGCCAAAATGCTTGGCTAATTATATACGGTATCGGACGAGCAAGATGGGAGTCATTACGGGCACATTATCAACAACATGGACTAGCTTCAAAAATTCATAAATTAAGTGGATGTGTTAGTAATTTTGCGATTCCATTCGCTGTAGTTTTGCATGTGCTAAAATTTATTAAAAATTTCGCTAATCAACATGGTCTGCCGTCTCCAGGTAAATTATAAGATATTAGTCATTAACAATTAATATCAATAAACTTGCTCTGTGGGTGGCCTTCAGGTGCCGTATAGTGGCACATGGTGTCCAATTATTACTATGATAGAACAGATTATGTAATATTTATCATTGCATGATTCAATATGCAATTTATAATTATTTACAAGTCGTTGGCTAAGTTCTTACTCAAAATTGATGTGCTTATCATTATGGAATAAAACAAAAAGAATCTATAATCATATGTGTTTGCGCGATAATATTACTTATAATTTATTAATCATTCTAATTTAATTTTTAGGTCGAAGCTTTCGGGATAATACTAGAGAAGTAATATATTTACCTGCATGTGAAAGCAAACGTTCATTATTTAGACTTTATGAGAATATTGAAAGTGAAGAAGATTGTAAAATTAGTCTTTCAAGTTTTCTTAGAATTTGGAAATTATATTTTCCAGGAATTAAATTTTTAACTATACGTAACGATTTATGTACGTTATGCAAAAATATGCGGTTTGGAGCCAAATATTGGCATAATGATGAAGTTGAAAAAAAAATACAAGAATGGAATAAGCATTATAGTTGGGCACAACTAGAACGAGAATATTATCGGTTTGTATTTATATAATTATATTTTATTGGTTAACTTATACTGTTTAAAAATTAATATTATAATTTTAAAAATTTTAGAACGTGTATTATAAAATCAAAGTCAACTTTAAGGAGCTTAACTAGTTATTCTCGCCCTGGTATACCGAATTCACTAAATATTGAAACCCATATTTCTTGGGATTTTGCTGAGAATGTTCAAATTCCCTATTCCTCGCAACAAGAAGGCACAATTTATTTTAAATCTCCATTTAAAATACAGGTATTTGGTGTATGTGAGGAAGGAACTCCCCTGCAAGTAATTATGTTTATACGTTAAAAAAGGGAATTCTAATGCAGAATCCCAAAAGTTTATAATCCTTGCCACTTATAATATTCATAAATTAGAATAAATCCTAACATATTAGGACTAGAGATAGGCCAATACAGCTTTATGCATTCATGCATATAGATAGCAATAGGGGTTCAATAATTCGGTACTATATGCATGATTCTAAAAATGCACATTTTTCTTATTTAATTTGGGACGCCTCTGGTTAGAAGTTGGAATCGAATTTGAAAATTCTAATATTTCATATGTAAATTCGAATTTAAATTCGAATTTACATATTAATATAAAATATTAGATTTTTCAAATTTGAATCCAATCTTTACTTCTGGTTAACAAGTGTTAGGATTATAGACTCAGATTTTATATACAAACATTATACTAATCATTATCATTATATTTGTAGATTAATTATTTAATTCCAGAAAGTGAAAATGTGGGAAAAGGTGCTGACGTAGTAATTTCTCTGGTCCATAATTACTTTATGAACCACGGTCTTGGAGAAAAGTCTGTCATAATACATGCTGATAATTGCGTTGGCCAAAACAAAAATAATGCTATGATTCAATACCTTATGTGGCGAGTAATAAATGGATTGCATGAAAAAATTACCTATTCTTTTATGGTTGCAGGCCACACAAAATTTAGTCCTGATGGATTTTTTGGCCTTTTTAAATTGAAACTTCGGAAATCTGAGGTAGACAACTTGAATGATTTAATAAATGTAGTCCAACAATCTACAATTGATGGATATAATCAGGCAGAAACGGTTTATGATGTAAATGGAAATAGAAAAATTACTTTTTATAAGTGGTCTGAATTCTTGAGTCAATTTTTTTTAACAGTGCCATCAATTCTTAAACAACATCATTTTACAATCTCTAATAAGAATATTGGGAAAGTAGAGGTTCAAAAATCTTGTGAAAGTATACCAAAAGAAATCGATATTGCGTGAATTGATTCAATTCCTCGTATAAAAAATAGTTTTTCAGAAATACTACCGGCACGTGGCATTAGGTTAGAGCGGCAATGGTATTTATATGAAGAAATACGGCAGCATATTCAGGACCCATTAAAGCATGATATCTTCTGTTCAAAGCCAAGCCAACCCAAGCCAAAAAAATCTAAAACTTCTGTAGACTAAAGCTAAAGATTAAGTTGATCAATTTTATTTATTTATTTTTTTAGGTATTTTATACATTGTCTCTTATTTTATATTTTATCAATCGTGATGTTTTATGAGAATTTTTAATACTATGTATAAATATTTACATTTCAAAGGCCTGGATATATAAAAAGTTCGGCTCTATAGTTAAGCTATAATGCCTATTAGCAATAAAAAAAAAAAAACTTATAAGTACTTTGTTTAAGTAGTTAACGATAGGATATCACAATTTTACTCAGCTTACTATACTTTCGCTATTCGAGTACTTGTGTGTTAATTCGCATATTTTCTCAAGACAAAAAGTTGATTCTGCTAAATCTAAATTTTGAAATAAAGTTTGGCGTATTAGACTTCTCTGATTGTGAAGATTCTTTACGATCAATTTTTATTATAACTGATTTTAGATAATGTTGGCATTAGATAGTACAAAAGGTTTAGTTGTGCATAAAATATCTGCATTTTAAATTTTGGTAATTCATATGCTAATTGGAACTTACACGAATTAAAAGTATTTTGCCTATGTGATAAGTTTAATGCCTGATAGCTGCAAGGTCGCCTACAAAAAAAGGCTATGTTAATGTATACAATATATAAATCAAATAAATTAAATGAAATACCACATTCCTTCAGGATATAAGTGAGATTAGAATAATGTTTTCAGCTTCTGAATATGATCTGTTGTAGTTCTGTATTGGTATGTAAAAAAATAAATTAGTGCCTAACAAAATACAAACAAAAATGGTTCGTGTATTCATATTGCAGTGAACCTAGTGAAGCCCAAATACGGTTCTGAATAATGGGACTATCAGGTTATTTCAAAAAGTAACTTAACTAAAAGTCCTTGCTACAAACAAAATGAGAGTTATTTTACTGTATTTATCGTGAAATAATTCTGTGTATCAGAGTTGAAGATTGTTAAAGTATTAGTTTTTAAAAAAAGGTCTCAAATAGTAATGTTTTTAGTCGATTTTAATTTAGTACTAGTACATAACCTGTCGCTTTGCAGTCAGTCTAGTTTTATATAATTATACCTAATAAGACCATACATACCATACGTAGATAAAAAAAATACCTATTTGCACCCAAGGATATAATACCCGGTAAAAGAAAAAAAATCAAAAATTTTAATTTTATTAAGAAAACCAATGTAGAACCCTTAAATAAAAATGTTCAGCACCTTTAATCCTAACATGCTAACTTTAAAGTTTATATTTTTTCTTGCGCTAGTACCATAGGTAAATTTAGTAATTTTTTGAAAGTAATATCGATATGGGTTATGCAATTTAAAAATTAATTTATATGTACTAATATAAACGTAACCCTCACGATTTTAATATAATAGATGCTGGGTCAGTAGAAATCAAGCAAATCTATTAGATAAATTTGCTTGATTTCTACTGACTCAATTTTTTTTTGATCTTCCGATGTAAATTGGTCAGATCGAATCATATCGGATTATATCGGATATTGTTTACTAGGTGTAACACAAAAACGTGATTTTCTCAAAATTTTGATTTTACCGATTTGCTGGATTTCTACTGACTCAACCCCATATGTTTATTCTATGATTGAATTAGCTTACATATTTTACACAAATTTTGTTCAGTATTTTTATTGGCAGTTTCAATCAATTTATTTAAAAAAAGATCTTGGTATTAAAAATATTGCTTTATACTACTTTGACGCATTACTCCAATAAATAAAAATATTGTTCTAATTTTTTCTCTATTCATACTACTATCTAATCCTGCAGCTAAAATTGCTCTTGAAAAATTGATGTTATTAGCTTTATTATAATGATTAGTTTGAGTTCCACAATTAAAACATATAATAGTAATATGTATACTTAATCCAGATACTTGAATTGTATATTTATGATGCATAATATCTTTATTATCATATACAGAACATGGTTTGTTTAATATAAATTCAAGATAAACTTTTGTACTAACTAAAATTGATGAGCCAAGTTTTTTTTTACTAATAAGTTCTTCAAATATATATGATAAAGATTCTGAATTTATTAAATTATTAGTACTTTTATTATTGCTATAAATTAATATTAACAAACTATTAGTATAGTTTTAATAAATTAATGAATTATTATATGTATATACCTTGAATTTGAAATTTCTTCAAGCTGTTTGTGAAGTTTATCTATTGTTTCAAGAGACTGCACAATTTTTTCATATATTTTTTAGTTCAATACTAGATTCTTCTAATTAAAGTGTAAATACTTAAACAATATGATTATTAATATCTAATCCTTTAGAATTTATTAGTAGTCTAGCTTTAAAAATAATTGAATTAGAATTATCTACCAACTTTTTATCAATTTTATTAGCTTTTCTTTTTTCTAATTTTATTATATTATTTAATTTTTTATCTGCAAGAAAAAGTGCTCTAGTATCCTCGAATATATTATAATAATTAGCTATAAAACTATATAACTATATAACATTTTTAGTACAAGTAAGTTCTAACAAATATGGAACAGATATTTTGCCAGTATAATTATATTTTTTTGAATATATTTATAAAAACTTGAAAATTTATCAAAATATAATTTATAAGTTTTAGATTTAGCAAAAAATAAATCTTCGCCAAAATCAGTTTATTAAAATAAAATTTCTTGTTTGGCATAACATCATTCAAAATTTAGCTGAATATATGCTCTAGTAAAAAATATAAATATTGTATATTCAGGAATTAAAAGAACCCAAACTTTATTATTTTTTTTTTTGGTATATCTTTAACACTTAATAACTAATATAATGATTGTTTATTATTAAGATCTAAAGAAATAGAAGCATGTTTAGGTAATAATAATAAAAATTGTACTTGTTCACTAACAAATATAGTTTTTTTTAGTCTTTCATATTTTTTTCATTAAGAATTTATTTCTATAAGTCATATACTTTAATCATGATCTGTCTTAAATATAAATATTAAATAAACATTAAAATCTAAAAATAAATTATATATAAAAACTATAAAAAATTTGATATTTCTAAGAAACTAATATTAAATAATTAAATTTTACTCTTATCATATTATAATTTTAACTAATACTATTGTCAAATATTATAAAATATTTTAAAATAAAGATTTTATTAAAAAAAAATTATTAAAGACAGAAATGAGCAATTTTAATACAGAATAAACAAGTATTACTTAGAGTTAAACTAAAGTAAATTTAATAACTAGTGGTTTTAAACTAACAAAAACTTACTAAAACAAATAAAACAAACTAACCAAATAATAAAAAATTAATAAGTGTTAGTAAAACACTCATTATTATAAATTTAACTAATAATAAATGATTATCTAAATCTAAAAAGATCAATATCTATAATATATATATGTAACATAAAAATTGCAGATAACTCTTTAAATAGATCATTTATACCAAAACTATCAAAAAACATTTAATTATTTCTTAACTTTTTACTAAGTAAACCTTACTTGGCTCTTTAAATAAAGTTATTTAGCACACTTTTCTTCTTCTAGGCAGCTGTGTTTGGAGTTTTAAAAGCACCTAGCTGCTGAGAAAGGTTTAAAAAACAAATATTTTGGTTTTTGCTAATTTCTACAAAATTTTATTAATTAAACATATCTTTTCTTCTATTCAAAAGTTGTTCAGCTCACTGAGACGGATATTTGATATATAATTTATTTAAAACAGATCAAAACTCATAGAGATATAAGCAAAAAGCAAAAACAAAAACTTGCTCTTTGCAGGTTTTTTCATTGGCATTTTAGGAAAACTTGCAGGGTTGTTCTGGAAATTTCACTTTTCTGGTACCTATTAGAATTTTTTAAACACCCAATAAGCTTATCTGAAGCTTATATATTTTTCTAAACCTTTCTAACTAGTCTAAAAACCCTTAAATTAAACAAATTTTTCTATAAAACATACTTAAAAATCTATTTTTAGAACAAAATGCTGACCTTAACAACAGCTGCACCTAATATCATCAATCTTGACTATTTTTACCAAAAGTATCCTAAAAGTTTTGGTATTGGTATTCTTGAAAATGCAACAAATACATTATGCTCCAATCTTGCAAACAAGTTACCAAATAATTGCTCAACTACAGAACTTAAAAAAGGAACTAAAAGTTGTTATTACTTTAAAGCATCTGAATATAGTTCTATTATTACATGCTTTTGTGACAAGTTTCACACTTACTTTATCTCAACTACTAACCAAATCTACAAGCAATATGAAGTCATCTCTACTAACAAAAAATCCAAAGATAAAAAATCTCTAGCAAACAACATTGCAAACTCTACTGAATTTATTCCACTATTACCTATAGCATCACTCTCACCTACTACATACAATTATCAATATACTAAATGCAATTTGCTTATTGCTTGCAAAGAAATGAACAACTAACATTATCTGGCAGCAGATGCAATTCTATACAATGATAAACCTCATCACAAAACATGTGTAAACATTCAACAATCCATTCAACAATCAAGTTCCTTTCCTATATTTATTTAAAAACTTCAACAAACAATTAGTTCTTATAACCCATTGGCATTGAAACTTACTTTTACAACATCACCTGCAAGTCATACTAGCAATCCAAATGCTATGAACTTGAACAACAATACAATCAACAATAATAACCAACAATCACCTTATTTTAACAAACAACAACAACAATAACAACAACAACAAGATAAACAACAACAACCAGATCAACAACAACATCAACAGCAAACACAATCCAATACTAGTAACAACCAACAAAAAACCAAAGCAAACCCAACATTTGACTAACTTGCCAACTTTCCTATTACTGAAGAAATGAAAGATAAATCACAACTGCAAACAGACTTTGCCAAAAAAATCTTTAATTTTCTCAAACAACATCTATATAACTTCAAACCTGAAACTGAAATCAAACCTAAAATTGGTGATCAACTAGCTCTTAAAGCTAGCTTCTATCACATAATCCATAAAATAGTAGGAGAAAAACTCTAATTTCTCATTGAGTTTATTCAAAAAAACAATCCAAACACTGACAAAGCTATAACTATCCTTTTCAATATACTTGAAGAAACCTTAAAAAAATTAATTCTTACATTTATTACTATATTTTTTACAAAACATAACTACCCAAAAATATTTGCTTTATCTGCAACTATCTCTCCTTACACAAGCCCAAACTGACTACAATTCTGTATTAATCTTGCATATCTTTATCTTTATCTTACAAACAACTACCAAGCTATTGATTACATTAAATTTGCTGAAGATATTCAACTTTGACCTAAAAGATTTAGAATCTTATCTGAAGTAGTTAACTTCGACAAAAAAAAACAATATCTTACAATTAGCTCTGATAGCAAATTTAACATATACCTTAAATTTAACATTCCCAAAACACTGTTTTTACAAAAACTTAACATTTCATCTCTTAAAAACTTACTTAACCACTTCAATTAGTGGTTTAAACAATTTTTTCCATTATATAATCATCAATTTACTAAACCTATAGATGAAACTAAAGTTTTTAATTCACTTAAATACCAATTCTGACAAAAATTTATTTTTCATCTTAAAGAGATTATGCCTATCAAACTAAGCTTTACAAAACCTAATAACTTACAGGAACGTCATGATGAAGCAATTAAACATACTAATTATCATATTTTCTCTTGTACAGATACTAACTGCATTTATTTAAATGCAGCAGAACAATTAAAAAAAGGAAAAGAAGTTAAACTTAACAATTTTAAAGAACAACCTCAATACTATGAATACTCTTCTCAACTTCTTAAAAGCATTCTCCAAAAATCCTATATTGATTTTCCTAAACAAGAAAATGAAATCTGGCAACAACCCAAACTTGACTCCTCTTTATTTTATAAAAACAGCAAACATGAAGTATCCTTCGACAAACAAATTCCAACCTTATTACTTGACAAACTTGCAAGTGATGCAGAAAACACTGCTTGTAAAGCTAACAATGTTCTAACTAATACCAAATGTCACAACTATTATTTCTATCTATACTTAAACCTTTACCAAAATGTTGTAGTCCAAAATCATAATATGGATAAGCTTAACAAGCAACAAGAAATTGACTTTCTTACAACTAAACCTATTAGCACTGAATATCTTGCAAGAATTTTAACTTTTTATCACTCTTGTGATAAAACACTTACCTATTCTCAAATTACAAACTACTTCTGAGAAACAGCCTATTTTGAGGCAAACAAAATTATACAAGAAAAATTTTAAATGAAATATGAAACACTACCCTTAATTACAGAATCTCTTTTTATTGAAGAGACCCTTTTTCAATAAACTCGTCTTTTACAATCTTTATAAATGCAGTCACCACCTTACTAAAAGATACATCCTTGGTAGTTGGTAAGAAAAATGATATAAGTGGGCAGATGGTAAAGCCTATTTATGTGAAAGGCCAGGATTATGATAGTTAAACCCAATATACAGGGCAGACTATGGTATCTTACACAGCTGTGAGAGCCAAGCATATGGTGATCAACCTTGTAGAAGACAACTCTCAAAGATCATTTTTAACATCTTTAGCCTCCTATGATCTTGATATATGTTTTAACAAATTCCTTCTTTACTATAACATACCTCTTTTTCCTCACAACCAAACTATCCAAACACTTATACAGCATATTGATAAACACAATCACAACCAAAAAGTTACTAGTATTACATTCTCTGTTAATTCAATTTATAGTGAAACTCATATATACCTTCTTAACAACTTATTTCTTCTTAATCATATTATCATTCCCTC